CTCAAAATTTTGAAAAATTTCAAATAAGGATTGAAAAGAAAATTGTGAATAAGAATGTGAAAAAGAAAAAGAAAAAGCATGCTTGTTTGAAAGAGGAAAATAGATAACGAAATAATATGCATAAAAGAAGTTTGGAAGGGTGAACAATTGAGAAAAGAAAGTGTGGATGAAGTTGTAGTGTGTACATAAGCTTGTATAGTGAATGTTTCTTTTGAATTGGCAATTTTGATTCCATAGCCTTAGATATGTCCATCTGTTGAGAACCTAACCAAGCTATAACCTTAAAAGCCCTTAGTGATCTCTTGCTTCCATGATTTCATTTTTGATTGATTAGATGAATGTATGAATTTTGAATTGTTATTAGCATTGTTTGTCAGGTGAGTGAAATTTCTCCGTGGTTGCAAACATGTTAATTTCTTCATTCTTATTTGAAGAGGAGTGTTAGAATTATTCAAGCATGAAAATTTAGTTGTTATTTGAAGCATTGCATGATATTTGCTTAACAACTAAATTCCTTTTCATTGTTCGATTGTAGGAAGTGGTGAATATTGCTTGTGTGCATTTGTTGTTTATTTGAGCCACAAATCCATTCTTGGTTGAATTAAATGCTTAAGAAAATCTTTTTGTTTTCAATGAGAGACATACTTTGCTTGAGGACAAGCAAACATCTAGTTGGGGAGAGTTTGTTGAATGCCAAAAATGTCTTATTTTGATCCATATTTCTTGGCATTTTTCAACTCTTTTGTTATGTTTCAATGGATTTATTTCATGTTTCAATGTGATTCTTCGATTATGTTGCAAATACCTTTATTTGCTTTGATATGTGTGTATTTGTGTAGGATTTAGGCATAAAACATCAAATATCAAGACACAAGTGAATTGACAAGGAAGCCAAAAAAAAGACTCAACATGTTCATCGTGCGAACACCAGCGAAGTAAAAGCGAATGTTCGTTGTGCAAACTCCTGGAAAGGCTCTAGTGAACCATCTCATATTAGAGGCAGTAAGAAAAGAACCCTAAGTTCGCTGTGCGAACTTGTAGCGAAGATGTTCGCTAGGCGAAGAAGTGTTCGCACTGCGAACTTAGATATTTCCTCAGGAGCGGTTTAACTATTCAGAGGCACTTCAGGTGCCATAGAGTGGTCTTCGCTGTGCAAAGAAGGTGTTTTCTAGGCGAACTTAACAGATTTTGGAAGTACTATATATGTACTTTTCACACTTTTTTGGGATCATAACCCCATTTTCCACATAGAAACCCTATTTTAAGCATTTCTTCACCAAAGAGTGATATGTTGCAAATAGAAGCTGGATTCGCATCCAAGATCGATTCTTTGAGGTGTATGCTAATTCATCTTCTCTCATTACTTATAAAGCAAACTATCATGGTTATGGGTAGCTAATTTCCTTTGTATCAAAGGTAGAAGTAGTCTACCATAGCTTTATGCATTTCTTTTGATTGACCTTGTATGCGAACAAATGATGATTAATATATGATGAATATTTTTGTTCTTAATGATCCATTCTTGTTTTGTAAAACTCTAGACATAGATTTTATGGAACTTGGCCTAAAATATTCATCTATCAATTCATAGATTGGTTGCTATATGGAGAAATCGTGTAGCGATGAATACGATATTTCTCATGACACCGCCCTAGACATAGACGGTATTGAAAGAATACATGATGATATTAATTGGATCCGACTTCACATGCAAGATTGCTAGAATATGTATAAGTTAGGGTAGATGAAAACTAACCTTGATATACTTTGTTAATCAAACAACTTTAGAATTTAAAGCTTTGCTACTAAATGGTGACAATTTATGAAACAAATTTTGAAAACCCATTTCTTGAAATGGTAAACTACTGAACAACAAGCATCCCATATCAGAACAATCTTTGTGGACACGATAACAAAACCCCGCTTATACTTACAATCCAACAACATTCAAAGCATCTTTGAAACAAAAGGGTATTTCTCAATAAAAGTAACCATGCTAGGAGAAAACCTATGTCTGATGGAAGAAATCGAGTCAAAAGAGATTGATTATATGATTATTAAGGCTAAGGACTGGTGGAGGCAGTTGTTCTTTGAGATTAAGAAACGGAAAAAGGGAGATGTAAAATTTGAGAGGGTCACTTGGTTGAGTGTTTTTGGAATTTCTTGTCATGCTTGAAACCCAGATTTTTTTAGCTACTATCAACCAAAGTAGGGACTTATATTTTCCCAGATGAAACCATTATTAGGCATGATTTTATGGATATGGCGTGAATCATGGTCAAAAATAGATGAGCAATGGTCTTGAATGAATCCTTTAATGTTTACATTAAAAAAGAAGTATTTATAATTATAATGATGGATGAATAACATGGACCAATGAGAATTGTATTGAAGTAGCAAGTTTTGATAAGTCGGAGAATAGCTTCGGGAGATCTGAGAGCTCATGCGAGTGGGGAATGGAAAGCTTAGAGAAGACGATTTCAGAAGAGAGTTTCAAAATCTCAGGTTCAGAAAAAGGTGGGATTATACAAGACAAGGTTGTGATGAGTTTCTAGATAAAAACTTCAGAAGTTAGGGTCGATAGAGATTGATTATATGATTATTAAGGCTAAGGACTTGTGGAGGCAACTGTTCTTTGTGATTAGGAAATGGAAAGAGGGAGATGTAGACTTTAAGAGGGTCACTTGGTTGAGTGTTTTTGGAATTTCTTGTCATGCTTGGAACCCAATTTTTTTTTGAGCTATTGTCAACTACAATAGGGACTTATATTTGCTCAAACAAAACCACGATTATGCAAGATTGTATGGATGTGGCGAGAATCATGGTCAGAAATAGATATGCAATGGTCTTGAGTGAATCTCTCAATGTTTAAATTAATAAAGAAGCATTTAGAATTAAAATGATGGATGACTTTTATTTTGTTATTAATGTTTAATCATGTAATATTAACATTAATAGGAAGATGTGGGGGGAGATCAAAGATCTCAAAGATAAAATTTCTAGCGGGAAGTGGGTTTTAGGGGAGTTTCAATTCAGTTGTTAGCTCTAAAAGAGAGAAAAGGTATGGGGCTTGAGTTCAGAGAATTCAAGGATTTTATAGAAGAGTTAGGATTGATAGTTGTCCTTTGTAGATGGATCAAGTTCACTTGGTTATTGGGGATGGTAGATATATAAGTAAGGTTGATAGATTTATCTTATCCAGTTGGTTGATTGATAAATGGGGAGTGGTTGGCCAATCTATAGGTTTGAGAAATATTTCAGATCATTGTCCAGGTTGCGTTTTGGTAAACAAAAGGGATTGGGGTCCAAAAACCTTTCAAGGTAATCAATTGTTGGTTCGATAATAAGGAGTTCTTGAATTTTTTGGAGAATGACTGGGGTGAGATTTTGAGTTGAAAGAAAAACTGAAGTTGTTGAGAAGGAGACTTAAGTGGTGGGACAATGAGGTCTTTGGGTTGATGGATTTGAATATTGTTGAAGAAATAAATGAGATAAATGAGGTGGATGATACGTTAATGAATTTCCAGAATGATAAAGGGAAGAGTTAGTATTGAGGAAAGGGATTGCTTCAAGCTCTATGTGGATAAAGAAGATGAGTTATGGGAAATTGTGGAGGAACTGGATATAGGCATGTTTTCAATAGTCATGTGAAAATTTTATTTAATGGAAGTCCAAGTGTGTACTTTGAGTTTTGTAGATATTTGAGACACGGTGACCCCTATCACCCTCTCTTGTACCCTAAGCTGTTTAGTAAAGAGCAGTTGAGAAAAAGAAAAATTGTGTAAGGTGAGCATGATTCGTGTTGCATGTTATGTTTTCAATAAGAAGAATACTTAGACCACATCTTCCTAAATTTTCGAATAATCTTAAAATTTGAGAAAGTGTGAAAACGTGGATCAATGAGCACATAGTCTTGGATGGGCTAGTTTGGAATTTCTTTATCACCTTATGAAGAATCTTGAAAAATAATACTAAAAAAGACAAGGAAAGAGTTATATGGTTGCCTACATCTTAGTGCATTTGGAATATCAGAAACAAGATTTTATTCAATGATTCATTTTCTAATGTTGGAGATATTGCTCAGTCTATCAAATTTCCGGTTTGAAAGTGGAGTATTATAAGAGAAAATTGTGTAAGGTGAGCATGATTCGTGTTGCATGTTATGTTTTCAATAAGAAGAATACTTAGACCACATCTTCCTAAATTTTCGAATAATCTTAAAATTTGAGAAAGTGTGAAAAAGTGGATCAATGAGCACATAGTCTTGGATGAGCTAGTTTGGAATTTCTTTATCACCTTATGAAGAATCTTGAAAAATAATACTAAAAAAGACAAGGAAAGAGTTATATGGTTGCCTACATCTTAGTGCATTTGGAATATCAGAAACAAGATTTTATTCAATGATTCATTTTCTAATGTTGGAGATATTGCTCAGTCTATCAAATTTCCGGTTTGAAAGTGAAGTATTATAAGAGAATTTGCTAAATTCAACCGTAACTGATTTTTGTATAGCTTCTCTAATTTATCTTAAAGGTTGAGGTTGATTTGTATTTTCTTTGTGTTTTTGGTTGTTGTTGTAGTGGCCTAAAGTAACCCTTTTACTTCTTTTTTTTTTCTTTTCGTGTTAGTATTAACTAAGTAAATAGGCAGATACATGTATTATTTAAAAAATTAAAAAAGAATTCTTTAATAAATAGAATTAGAAAAAAAATACTAGCAAATTTATAATTATTAATATCATTTATATCATTATCAAGTCCTAAACACTAGATTGGACTAGAGGAAATATTATACACTAATGATGCAATGGTTAATAGATTCTCCTCTTTCCATACCAAATAGCTTCAATTCCTTAATAGCTGGATCTTCAAGAACAAGAACCTTATCTTTGTCCCTAACACCAATCATGTGAAGAAATTCATTGTCATCCCTCTCTTTACCCCTACAGATAAGCCTTTGTTCTTTTGGCTCCAAACTTGTTACTAATGACAAAGCCATCTTCAATTCTCCTGAAATTTATTCCCAATATTTTTGTCAAAATACACATTTTAGGTCTATATTTTTAGTTCTATAATTATGTGCAAAAAATAAGATTTTGTTTTTGGTTCATAAGTACTAGTACATGAAGTAGGATGTGATTAGACTTACCAAAAGTTGAAGTGGCTTCAATGGAAATATCATGCCACTTAGAAATTGTTGAAACTCTAATTGTGATAATTTCTTCATCACTTTTATTGCTCTCTCTTTTTTTGCTCTCTCTTCATCACTACAATCCTTTTCAATTGGAGATGGTGCTATTACTTTGTTTCCAATATTGCCAAGCTTTGATATGCTTCTACAAAACCTCTTTGACTTCAACTTCATCATCTTCTTTTTCTTTTTTGAAGAATTGAAAGTGGAGGAACTAGTAAGAGAAGTTTATGTGGTTAGGGACTTATATAATAGTTGAAAAAATAAAAAGTGATAAAGTAGAAGATATGAATATAATAGAAGCCGACCTAGTGTTACAAAATGGGGAGAGTTGAGGGAACAAATATATGCAATGAGGTTTGTATAAACAAACACATGGAAGGAAATATGGGCATTTGTCTTTTTTGTTGATCTTGGAAGGGCTATGGCACATGGGGAGTTGGTGCTTAGGTATAAACAAATTGTTTGATCAACTTGATTAACATAGAGGAATCAAATTTTTTTAAGAGGTCTATTTTTTTAAGGAGAGGAGAAATCATGTAATTTTTGTTTTTGTTTTAGAGAAACTCTTCAAAAGTTTATTTTAAAAGTTTCCATCATGATTACTTTTGATTCTTGTTATAGTGTAGTTTTTTTATTTATTTTGTACTAGTTTGTAGAAGGTTGAGAAATTTATATCTTATCCATCTTTGTGTCTAAAGAGTTTAAATTATGACCATCTACTTTGTCTTCAATAATGATCAATTCAAATTCCTTTCCATTACAAAATGCAGTTTTAATTAAGAAATATTTTTCGTAATAATTAAAAATTAAGAAATGTTATTAGATATTACATTGAGAGAGAGATGTCATTTATAATAATTAAGAAATATTATTCATAACAATTAAAAAAGAACTAAATTACAAATAATATTTTTTTTTAGTATATTTGAAATGGACTCAAATAACTAGCAAGCTATTTGGTCTAAAAAAACAGTCGCAATTCTAAGTGCTATATAGGATGGTTAATGCAACGCACCCCCACGTCCAACTGGTATCGTCAAGGTTATTAAACAACCACATGTACCGAGCATCAATATAAATATGAGACTGATCTGAAAACATAATACATGCTATGAAGTATGTACACCATGTTTGAACTGCAGTAAAGTGGCAAGAAGCAAAAATTTAGTTTTGAAAGGATTCTCTCTGGAATTTATATGGTCTTCACAGAGATCGGTGCGAGGGAAAGAATATCGTTCAACGGCCTCTACATTTCTAAGCTTGTTGTGAATTTTTTTTGATAAATTAAGGTACAATAAATAAAGAGAGAAAATATAGAGACGGAAAATATAAAGTAAAGATTTAAAATATAAACGGAATCTTATTAAGATTGGATCTCATCAATTAATAACACATGCATTCTTCTAACCAGTTAAACACAAATCAATCATTCATCTAATATCCTAACGTATCACCCACAACAGAAGTTATGTCTAACGCAACATCGAGAGAACAACCGTAATGTCTCATTGGTGATGTCTCACGTAACTCAACTACACGGAGTATTAAGAACTGATACTAAAGCAAATGTTAAGGCTAAATTTATGTCTAGAGTTTAGAACCAAACAGATATCCAAAAATGACAGACATATCATATTTATGATTGATTCACGTAAAACAACATGATCAGAATACGTACATACGTTTAATCCATTTTACATGCATTCAACTAATTTGTCAAATGTATGTAAACAAAGTTCTTCATCACTATTATCATGCATCCTCACAATACCGTTCGCGTCAAAAACGTTATCGTGGTCTTTACCGTATTGATCCTACTCATGATACTCATGCTACTAATTAACACAATAAAATAAAAGTGATACTAGTGAATATCAACTTACAAGACCATGTCAAAAGTTTGCTCATTGATAGTTAGATCAAATATTTAAAAAGGTTTTGTCATGACCCACAAATAAGAAATCAAAGAAAACATCAATATTAAATCAAAACTTGTTTACAATACATAGATTAGATGAAATACATAAGGTATCAAAAGATTACATCCAAATACAACAAGAGATCGAAGATCTTACCTTCTCCCTCTTAGGGTTTGTGTTTCTCTCTCTAGAATATGCTTGAAATAAAGAGAGATAAAGTTATATTCTGAAAAATATCTAACTTACTATCTAAAAATTGAGAAAAGTACATATATAGTAAACTAAAATCTTTCATATTCGCCTAGCGAACACTTTTTCGCACAGCGAACTTCTTTGCTACAGATTTGCTCAGCAAACTTTGGGTCCTTTTCCTACTGCCTCTAATCTGGGATGGTTCGTTGGGGCTTCGCCAGGACCTCGCATAATGAGCATTCAATTTCACCTCGCTGGTGTTTGCCTAGCGAACATGCTTATTCTTCTTCACTTCTTTGACTTCCTTGTCCAATCATTTGTGTCTTATTCATTGATATTTTATGCCTATATTATGCACAATACCACACACATCAAAGAATTCAAAGGTATTTATAATATATTGAAGAATCAAACAAGAACAAGAACTAAATCTATTAAAACATGAGAATCGAGTTGAAAAATGTCAAGAAAGATGGTTTAATTTAAATCAAAATTTGCACTTAACAAACTACTAGGTTTTTGCTTGTCCTCAACCAAAGTATGCCCCTCATGCAAACAAAAGAGATTTTATCACACAAGAGGATTTGCTCAAGCATAAGATTCAACAAAGAAAAGGATAACAGTTCAAATTCAAACAAGAGATATTTCCTCAAATAAGAGGATTTGGTCAAGCAAGAGAATGCGCACAAAAAAATTCACCACTCAATAGAATCGAACAGTGATAAAGAATTTAGTTCTTAAACAAATATCATACAATATTTCAAATAAAAACAAAATTTTCATGCTTGAATCACTCTAACACTCCTCATCAAATAAGAATGAAGAAATTAACGCGTTTGCAACCGCTGGGCAATTTCACACACCTAACAAGCAATGCAAATACAATTTAATTTATACATTCATCTAATCAATCAAAATGGAGTCATGGAATCAAGAAGATCACTAAGGTCTTTAAAGGTTGTAGCTTGATTAGGTTCACAACAAAAGGACATATCTAAGGTTATGGATTCAAAGTTGCCAATGCAAAAGAAACATTCATTATACAAGATTGTGTACACACTACAACTTCATCCAACACTTTCTTTTCTCAATTAGCCACCCTTCAAAATTTCCTTTATGCACATTATTCTTTCTCTATATTTTTTTCCTTTCAAATAAGCATGCTTTTTCTTTTTGTTTTTCACATTCACATTCACAATTTTCTTTTTCAATGCTTGTTTGAAATTTTTCAAAATGTTTGAGTAACCTACCACTTTTCTTTTTACTCAACTCAACTTGGTTTCAACCAAACCTCAAGTGAATATTCCTTACTTATAATGGAAAGGAAGACAATTTAAACAAATTTTAAAGGTTCAAGAAATTTTTTTAGAATCCCAAAAACTTCAATGATGAACTATCTTTCAAATTATGTACAAATACCAAGTTCATCACTAAACTAGGATCTAAACTATTAAGCTTAAAGGGGTTAGCAAATTCGCACTGCTCACGGTTAAGTTGTTTTTTTTATTTGGGATATGGTTGTACTCAATATCAACAGATGCCTTGATCATTTCTAATGCTTCTATAAAATCACAATAATCAAAAGATTAAGCATCAATCAAATGTATTAAACAAAGTTTATCAGTCATCCTATGCATATAGTAAACAATGGAGGTTTCTCACAATTTGTGCATGTTGGACCTAAGTAAAACAAGCATTCAAACAAAGTTGCAAAATAAAACAAGAATGCACATTTGCACAAAGCACAAAATTCTTAAATCATTCTAACTTTCTATAAATCGATACAATTTACCTTGGTTTCATTCACACACTCAACATCCTACCATCACCATCCAAACTTGAGAGAATCTTCATCAGATGCTTTTATACAAATAACAACCAATCTAGAAGGAATCCTCAACATTCATCCCTAAAAAAACTTACAAAAACTTAAAAGGAAACAAGTATATATACAATATAAACAATTGTACAAAGCTCAAAAATATAGAAACTATTGCAATGTACTTCAATATCTAAACACCAATCCCTGGCAAGAGTGCTAATTTGTTCGAACTGCAGTAAAGCGGAAAGAAGCAAAAATTTAGTTTTGGAAGGATTCCCTACGGAATTTATATCGTCTCCACAGGGATTGGTGTGAAGGAAAGAATGTCGTTCAACGGTCTCTACATTTCTAAGCTTGTTGTGAAAATTTGTTGATAGATCAAGGTACAATAAATAAAGACAAAAAACACAAAGACAGAAAATATAAAGTAAAGACTTAAAATATAAACGGAGCCTTGTTGGGATTGGATCTCATCAATTGATAACACATGCATTCTTTTAACCAGTTAAACACGAATCAATCATTCGTCTAATATCCTCACGTATCACCCACAACAGAGGTTATGTCTAATGCAACATCGTGAGAACAACGGTAATATCTCATGGTGATATCTCACACAACTCAATAACACGAAGTATTAAGAACTGATACTAAAGCAAATGTTAAGCCTAAATTTATGTTTAGAGACTAGAACCTAACAGATATCCAAAGATGACACACATATCATATTTATGATTGATTCATGTAAAACGCTATGATCAGAACACGTACATATGTTTAACCCTTTTCATATGCATTCAACTAATTTGCCAAATGTATGTGAACAAAGTCATTCATCACTATTATCATGCATCCTTACAATACTGTTCGCGTCAAAATAGTTATTGTGGTCTTTATCGTTTTGATTATACTCATGCTACCAATCAACACAATAAAATAGAAGTGATATTACCGAATATCAACTTACAAGACTATGTCAAAAGTTTGCCCATTGATAGATGAGTGTCTTAAATCAAATATTTGAAAATATTTTGTCAAGACCCACAAATAAGAAATCAAAGACAACATCAATATTGAATTAAAATTTGGTCACATTACATATATTAGATGAAATACATAACACATCAAAAGATTACATCCAAACCCAACAAGAGATCGAAGATCTTACCTTCTCCCTCTTAGGGTTTGTGTTTCTCCCTCTAGAATATGCTTGGAATAAAGAGAGATAAAGTTCTATTCTG